AGAGTGATATGCGCGTAAAGAGACATTCCCGAAAACTCATCTCCTGATTCACAAATACTTCGTAAACGTCAGATGTGATAGTGAAATGTGTGTGTGTGTTAATGAATTCCAATCAGTCGTAAATGGGACGTGCGTGCACGCTCATTCTCAATTACCATAAATCCCGCCTATTAAATCCGATCCGACTGACAACTATATATGTGCATCATATTATGACATGAATGCGAATGAAAATAAAATTCTCAGATGCAGAAATTGAAGTTTTATTATCAGAAGTTCATTCAAAACACCACATTTTATTTTCAAGCGTACATAGTGGTGTATCGGGTCCTAAAAAAAGGAAGCTTGGCAGCATATTACAGATGCAGTTAATGGAGTTTCATCTGTTAATCGAACATTCCCAGAAGTGAGAAGAAAATGGTTCGACATTAAGCTTGAGAGCAAAAAACGAATTAGTTAACTTCGGAAAAATAGTATTCAAACTGGAGAAGGACCATCGCAGATGCTATTACTGGCTCTCATAATAAGAAAAACCGTATGTAATTACTATATATAATATTTTTTCAAAATGCTGTGCAAATATGTACCCGATTAAGGTGAATTAAAATGCAGCCTTATTAATGAGCAAAACGTTCGGGTGTTAAGCGCACTATTTACGCGTGGCTGGGATGTAGATTTCTTGTGTACCAACTAACATTTGGAAAATACGAACATTTTAATGAATCCGAAAATTTACGCCAGAACCACTTTACACACGATTTACACAAAAATTCGTTCTGCTCGTGTTTCATGAATGAGACCCAATGCAACCAAATACAGAAACAAGCTCCAAAATATTCACAACAGAACCAAATACAGAAACGCTCTGCATATACTCATAACGCAACTAAATACAGAAACGCGCTGCAAATACTCATAACGCAACCAAATACAGAAACACACTACAAATACTCACAACGCAACCAAACACAGAAATGTGCTGCACATACTCACAATGCAACCAAATACAGAAACGCACTGCAAATACTCACAACACAACTAAATACAGAAACATGCTGCAAATATCAAAGCGCAATGCGCTGCAACTGAAGAAAACATATGCAAAACACCTGCAAATTAAGAAAACATCTTCATCAATTTGACAACACGTGCTGCAAATACTCACAACGCAACTAAATACAGAAACGCGCTGCAAATCCTCACAATGCAACCAAATACAGAAACACACTATAAATACTCACAACGCAACCAAATACAGAAATGTGCTGCAAATACTCACAATGCAACCAAATACAGAAACACACTACAAATACTCACAATGGCCCTCATTTATCAAAAGTGCGTACACCAAATTTCCAGCGTACACCTGGCGTACACCCAAAACCACGATGACTTTGAGATTTATCAATATGGACGTTGGCGTACGGCACGCTCAAATCCTACGCCAGCTCAGGAGGTGGTGTACGTACGTTTTGAGTTAGTGCGGAAATGCGCAGAAAAACAATTCCTAACACCACAAAATGCACTGACAAACTAAAAGATATTATATATCATGACCCACTGTAAAACAAAAAAACAACAACATAGTAATTATAAACTTCAGTGTTAATTTTTGTGCAACATGGACTTCAATGTTTAATTTGTGTGACTTTACCAAAGCATTTGATTTGTAGCCATATGTATTCCTTCAGTTGCGAGCCTGTGCGCTTTACCCTGACGTTTCAGGGTTTGGCCCGGCAGGTGCGCACGGACTGGGTTCGGTAACGAAAGGCTTTCAATGACCAAAACATAATTCAGACTGACAAAATAATAAAAAATACATTCTTCTTCTTTTAAATAATAATAATAATACAAATAATAATAATGACATTCTTCTTCTAAATAACAATAAGCGTCATTAATAATGCAAATCATAATAATAATAATAAGAATATTACAAATTGTCATACAATTATAAATGTGAATGAATGGTACTCCACATCACATCATCATCATCATCACTATTGTACACCCCAATACATGTAACGTGATTCGAAATTGAATGCTAATTCAAAAGACGTGCTGTAAAATATTGCATTGTGATAGGTCATTTCGGCTCCACGTCAGAGAAGTTTCTCTTCTTTGCCGTCTTCCGTGTGTACATGGCGTAAAATGAGGGCGTGGGGGAAGCGGAGACTTGAATATATAGGGGCGTGTTATTCTAATGACGATCGTTTTCAGCCGCGGGATTTATCAAGGGCAGGTATTGCGTACACCTGGATTTCAAAGGTACGCACAGCTTCATAAATCAGGCGGTGAGAGGAGTGTAAGCATAATCTTACGCCAACATATACGCCCGTTTCTACGCAAGAATGATAAATGAGGGCCAATGCAACCAAATACAGAAACAAGCTGCAAAATATTTACAACGCAACCAAATACAGAAACTCACTGCAAATACGCACAACGCAACTAAATACAGAAACGCGCTGCAAATACTCACAATGCAACCAAATACAGAAACACACTACAAATACACACAACGCAACCAAATACAGAAATGTGCTGCAAATACTCAATGCAACCAAATACAGAAACACACTACAAATACTCACAACGCAACCAAATGCAGAAACACACTGCAAATATCACAAAAGCGCAACGCGCTGCAACTGAAGAAAACATATGCAAAACACCTGCAAATTAAGAAAACATCTTCATCAGTTTGACAACACGTGCTGTAAATACTCACAACACAACCAAATACCGAAACTCGCTTGAAATACTCACAACACAACCAAATACAGAAACAAGCTCCAAAATATTCACAACACAACCAAATACAGAAACAAGCTCCAAAATATTCACAACACAACCAAATACAGAAACTCGCTGCAAATACTCACAACGCAACTAAATACAGAAATGTGCTGCAAATACTCACAATGCAACCAAATACAGAAACACGCTGCAAATAACACGGAAATGTTTCAAGGGGACCCCAACAAGTGACAAACCTGGCTGGGACTATTGTTCAATGTCTACTCGTCAGTGTTGTCGATGACCTGAAAGGTGAGGTTTTTTTTGTTTATTTTAACATCCTATTCGTATGTGCGTTGCAAGTTTTTGCAGCGAGTTTCTGTATGGTTGCTTTTTAGTAATCCATAATGTAAGACATAGTTAAAAAATATATGTTAGCATGGTTGAATAGAGGTTGTTTTGAAGCATATCATGATCACGTATATGCATGGTTTTTTTTTTATATCATGTGTGCCAAAAAGTAAGTGACTGTTAGTACTGTACTATGAATGTACAAACCACTTATGTTGTAACCTTGCCTAGCTTCCTGAATGACAAGTCAGACGGTTAGAGACATTTACGATTAAAGTCGCACGAAACGGAAGTTGCAATAGTCTTTTCTTTCCTATTGACGTATATTTGAGTGAAAGAGAGTGCAGAGAGTTTCTGTATTTGGTTGTGTTGTGAGTATTTGCAGAGAGTTTCTGTATTTGGTTGCATTGTGAGTATTTGCAGGGAGTTTCTGTATTTGGTTGCATTGTGAATATTTGCAGCGAGTTTCTGTATTTGGTTGCATTGTGAGTATTTGCAGAGAGTTTCTGTATATGGTTGCATTGTGAGTATTTGCAGAGAGTTTCTGTATATGGTTGTGTTGTGAGTATTTGCAGAGAGTTTCTGTATTTGGTTGCATTGTGAGTATTTGCAGAGAGTTTCTGTATATGGTTGTGTTGTGAGTATTTGCAGAGAGTTTCTGTATTTGGTTGTGTTGTGAATATTTATTTGCAGCACATGTGTTGTCAAACTGATGATGTTCTTTTTAATATGCTGGTGTTTTTTCTTTTTGCATGCGTTTTCTTCAGTTGCAGCGTGTTGAGCTCTTTCGGCCACCGTACAAGAGTGTATTTAGTTAAAATTAGTATTTGTCCTTGTGACGAAACGGATATAATGTAACATGCATAAAATCATGTGGTTTCATGGTTGCATTATGTTCCCTGGAACAGCCTTTTGGCCCGTGTGCTCAGATTGCGTGTGTGTGCGTCCATATGGTCTCCTGACGTCTCAAATCTGTAATCTCATTCTGTCAGAAGCAGTTTAACACACACAGCCAGTGGTGCATTTCTGCTGAACATCGCTCACACAACATCACAACACACACACACACACGCTCCGCTATAGGACAAACTCAAAATCCAGTCCTAACATCATGGAGGTTGTTGGTAAGGTAAACAAATTCAGTTAACTCCTTTAATTCTAATGAAAAATGTAATTTTAATGGTTGGTTGATTTCTATGCCACTTGGATTTAACACTAATGAATATGTTTTTGTGTTTGTATATGTATTTAAATTTGTGTTTGGGGGACTTTTTATAAGTCAGGTCATAAGTGGACAGTTTTGAGACAAAAAGTGAATATTGTTTGTTTTTAAACTCAGGTAACATTTAGTTGATTAGAGAATTAACACAACAGAGTCTATTTATGTGGTGTTCTGTGTGTAGCAAAAAATGCAATGGTACAGTGATGGTATCAGATAACAATACCATGGTACTTGTATATGTCATGTGTATATATATCTCACTCAAAATCTCATCTGGTCACTTTTTCCTTTTTTATCTTACAGACTCCAAGCTTTTGACTGGAAGTGTATGTTGTGCAAAGTAAACTAATGTACAGCATGAGATGAAGATCAGTCATATTATTAGCCTAATAAAAGCAGTTTAATTTTACTTGGAGCAGGTTGCATTATGGGGCTGTCATGTTGATATCACATGATAGCTCATTTATGCAATGACATCAGTGACAGATGGCACAATTGCGCTACTACGTGTCAGCACAAACGATTTACTGATTGATTTTAATGGGGAAAAAACTATTAATCATTGTAATATTTTATAATTAAGATGTATTATTTTTGTTTCAATTTATTTAATTTTAAAACAATTATTTTAATTTATTTGAATAATTTTATTTAGTCATGCATTGAAATTGTAGTAGTTATTGAATTTGCCATTTGTATTGCTGAAGATTTATATATGATATTGTTAAATTAACTTTGCTTTAACTCAACTCGCAACAGTGAGCATCGTAAAGCTACAGTGATCTATAGAGCTCAGAGGTAATTGAGTTAAAAGCTAACCAGGCGTTAATCAAGGCATGTTTAGTTGATTAAGGCCACGATGGATTACCAGGGACCTATAGACCAACAAAAAGCTCTAGTGTAGCCAACCAGGACGTTCCTTTAAATGGAAGAAGTCTACACCTGTGAACTTGCATGTTGCTGAGACTTCGATATCAATGGAGCCATTACATGCATGAACGCCTCTTAGCTCTGGGTGTGTGCGCGACATGTCTTAACAACTGGTGCTACTTGCTGCTCTCCGTATAAATGGATTAACCATGTGTTTGCTTGTCCTATTTGACGAAGATACAGGATAGAATGAATTAAAGTGGAAATAGATGGCAAAGCCTGGTTTAGTTCAGCACAACTGCTCAGTGTAAAGGTGTGTTCACGCTGACAGCTATTTGCAGCAACAACGCGACCAGGTGTAGTTCTTTTTTATTCCTTTAAAAAGGGAGCAGGTGATGAAATTCCAGGAAAGATCATTATGTGATGTCTGTTTTGTTTCTCTTAGCATGTTCCATGGGCAGCAGCTCTAGTCTCTACAGTGCCCTGGCTAAGACTGTCAGCAGACCTCCTCTCCCTCACACTCGGGACACATACAATCCGGGGAACGATCTGGATCAAGACCTGGCGGACCCTTTGGAGCTGTTGCAGGAATGTAGAGAGGTTTTGAGAAACCGGCCTGCCCAACTGCAGAGAACTCTCATTCAGACGGGACATGGAGACTCCAGGCAGACGATCAGAGTTATGCAGTGGAATGTACTAGCACAAGGTACAAACCTAAACCCTATTCATCATCATTAAGAGGGGACACTGAATGACATATCACTTGTGTTTAACATGATATACACACTAAAACATTTTGGGGATGTGTGAGAGCCTCTTATGGCCACCAAGACTGCATTTATTTGATCAAAAATAAAACATGAATCATGTTTCGTGAATTATTGCAATAAAAAAAAGTGTTCTATTTGAATATAAAATGTAGCCCTAATTTATTCCTGTGATGACAAAGCTGAATTTTCAGCATTCTTCAGTGCCACATGATACTTCAGAAATCGTTCTCATATCTGATTTACTGCTAAGATACATTTTTTTTATTAATATCAATGTTGCCAACTGTTGTACTGCTGAATAGTTTTGTGAAAAATTGTGATACTTTTTTCAGGATTATTTGATTAATCAAATTTTTTTTTTTTTTTATAATATAAAAGTCTTTACTGTCATTCGATTAATTTAATGTATCCTTGCTGAATAAATGTAATTTCGTAAAAAAATAAAAAAAATCTTACTGACAAAAGTTTAAGGATCAGGAATAAAATAGGCAAATATAGTAATAATGAAATATAGTTATTAATAAACAATTATAATACTAACCACCAAGAACACACTAGCAACCACAACCAAACCCCTCAGGAAATCTTACCAATGCATAACAACAGTCTAGTGTCATGGTGGTGAGTTTTATGGTGGTTATTATAGTTTTATTTTATAACCATTGAAAGTATAATAAATATTGACTGAAATAAAATAAAACATTAATTTTATTTAACTTTTTATTTTATTTAACTATGCCAAGGCAAGATTTCTTCTTGTTTAGTTTAACTTGATGTACTAAAATAGTTCAATTTTATAATTGTAATAATAATGATTGTTTCGCTAATCATTATTACATATTCAGGTCTTTAGTGACCGAGATTTATATCTTAACACGGATGGCTCTCTAACTGCCACATTAGTATAAAACTAAAGTTTATATCTCACAATTGTGACTTTATAACTTTCAATTATGAGTTTATATCACGCAATTCTGGCTTTATAACTTGCAAATACGAGTTAATATCTTGCAATTCTGACTTTATAACTCGCAATTGTGAGTTTAAATAAAAAAATGTAATGCTTTTTTATTTTTTATTTAGTGGCGGAAACGAGCTTCCATAATATTCTTTTGTTTTATGCCTGCGGTATTTATGAGTGAAACATCACATCATCATTGTGTATTAGACATTGCCACTTTGAGGAATAAATGTGAATTGCACTTATTGAGTCATCAGAGATTCAGTTATTTTTGTGAAGAAAAAAATATACGCTATTTACTTTTTATTAAAAAAATTCTTGTTATATTGTTTATAATGAATGAATTGAGTAATACTAAAAAAGTTGATGTCTAACTTTAAAAAATGAATGAGGGGGAGGATAGTGAATGATGTTCTGTGTCGATAAAGACCCGAGGTATGCGTTTAAAGGTTAATAAAAAACAGACATATTTAAAATGAATAATAATGACAAAGTTACTAAAACTTCAGCTTAAAATGAACATATAAAAATAAAAACCAATTCAAAATATTAATTAAAAGAATCTCAATGATGCTGAAAATACACTGCCGCAAGGTGACATTTTCATACAAATCTTTTACTTTAGAAAGTTGTAGCTAGGATGATTTACAGAGATTATTTTTTTTAAACACAATCCAACTTCTCTCTGTCCCGTTGCAGCGTTAGGTGAAGGCATGGACAGTTTTGTGCAGTGCCCCGTGGATGCTCTGAACTGGGCTGAAAGGAAGTATTTGATCCTGGAGGAGATCCTAACCTACAGACCTGACATCCTATGCCTACAGGAAGTTGATCACTACTTTGACATGTTTCAGCCCGTCCTGGCAAGTTTGGGCTACCAGAGCAGTTTCTGCCCCAAACCATGGTCTCCATGTCTGGATGTGGAGAACAACAACGGCCCTGATGGCTGTGCTCTGTTCTTCAATCACAAACGCTTCCAGTCACTAAACACAACACACCTGCGACTGTCCGCCATGATGTTGAAGACCAATCAGGTGGCCATCATCACCGCTCTACGCTGCCGAGACACAGGTCGGGCGTTCTGCGTGGCGGTGACCCATCTGAAGGCACGGAGCGGTTGGGAGGTCCTACGCAGCACACAGGGTTCGGATCTGCTGCGCAACCTGCGGAACGTTGCACAGAGAATAGAGACCGAAGAAAAAGCAGACGCAGACGTTCCTCTGATAGTATGTGGCGATTTTAATGCCGAGCCGTCAGAAGACGTCTATAGGAATTTCGCGACATCTAGTCTGGGACTGGACAGTGCGTATAAGCATTTGAGTACGGACGGGAAAACCGAGCCACCTTACACAACGTGGAAGATCCGGCCCAGTGGCGAGAGCTGCCACACGCTGGATTACGTGTGGTATTCGCACAGAGCGTTTGATGTTAATGCGGTTCTGGACTTTCCTACAGCCGAACAAATAGGACCCAATAGGCTTCCTTCCTATAACTACCCTTCAGATCACCTGTCCCTCGTCTGTGACTTCAGCTTCAAGGATCCGGCGCTTGTTTCCCAGTAATTACAGACTTATTTCGCAAGATATTACACAAGTCGAGACTTGTGCTGGCACAGTATTTCTACATATTTTGATTCCTGTTCATGAATAATTAGCACTTCAGCCAGTACATTCTTAAAGGGATAGTTCATACAAAAAAAAAAAAAAAAAACATAATTTCGTTCAACGACGTATATGATTTTCTTGTACTGTGGAACATTAAAGGAGATTTGTTTTCATTTGCTAAGACAATACAGCACAATAAAATCTTCTTAAAGCAAAAAACTTCATCGTAAAAGTAACATTAGTGACTGCAAATGTTATTGGTGAAATGCAATGTTTGAGATTTAAGAGCTATAATGGGGAAAGGGGTTCAAGAATGAACTTTAAATATCATTGTTCCTCACACAAAGCTATAGTATGGCTTCAGAAGGCTTGAATATTACTATTTTTATGGTGCTGTAAATTGGTGTCCGTTTTTATTGTATGGACAAGAGCAGGTAGGACATTAAGTATATTATCTCCTTTTGTATACCACAGAAACAAAGAAAGAAATACAGGTTTGGAGAGGTTAAGTAAATTATGAGGGAATTTTCATTTTTGTACGATTTAGAGGCTGTTTAGTTTACACGACGGCGTTTTCAACTTAAAACGGAAAACTTTTTATGCTTTTCGGCCCTTCTTTTACACAACAACGGCATTTTGGGGACTGGAACGCAAACTTTTGAAAACAGGTTTCAAAGAAAAACGATGCCGAGTAAACTACAAAAAGGTGAATTTGTGAAAACCGTGTCTTTTCAGTGTATATGCGTGTAGTTTTTCTTTACAAATTGGCATCGCCAACTACTGGCCTGGCAGCAGAATACAGCTTTTTTTTTTTTTTTTTTTTTTTTTTTTTACGGATCCGTGTGAACGGGGATCATTTTGATAATGTTGTCATCTGTACACGAAAAAAGCAAAGGAATAACTTTTCCGTTTTATTACATTGTTGTCGTGTAAACATACCCTTATTCTTTTAGACTTGTATGCTTCAGGGTGTTGGTTTAAAAGCAAATATGTTTTCTTAATATGTGACTCAAATCATTCTGCAACATGTTTTGGGTCTTATTGGTAATAACATGACAGCTCGCAGAAATAAAACTATTGCATTGTGGTGGGGAGGGTTTTTTATTGTTTTTTTTACGGTTAATAAAGTATGTTTGGGAAGATGTCAAATTCTGCATGAACATTGTGTATCATTCACACTCATGTATAAGCGAGGGAAGCCTTATTAATAAATTATTTCCTTTATGCAACAGCCTCAAAATTATTTCTCAGCTTCGCCAGTCTACTCTACATGATCAATTGCAGACAGTTAAACTATTTGGACCCATCACATGAGCTCCTCGTTTTATAGCTCCTCGAGTCAAGCATTATTACACCTTTAAAGGTCACTGCAGGAAGAGGATGCAACTCAATCCCTTCCTCAAGGGTTGTTAGTGAAGTGTGCAAAACCACTAGCCCAATATTTACATAATGATCATTACAGTCTAAAAAGATATTTTGGTGCTCCTTAACCCTTATTGTTATGTAGATATTTTACATTTTTGATAAAACCAAATGTTACTTTAGTATTATTGAGATACTATTTTAGTTTTTATTAATATTTTGAATGCCTTTTTTTTCTATTTTACATTTTAAAGTTTAAATTATTTGAGTTTTTGCAGAACTATGCCCCCCTCTGGCGACAAGCGAAACTGCCTTACTGTCTTTGTCTTGCGTGGAGTTTGCGTTGGGGTTTATGAACTACAAGCCGGTCTCTTTGAATCCATCTTCTACTTTTATCGAAAGTTGACTGAAGTTTTGTCGCTCGAGTTGTCTTCTTTAATACGGAGAATGGCGGCGAATACACAAACCTGCCAGACATAGGGGAGCGTGAACGCGCATGACGTCACGCCCAGTCTCACGTTCCGGCCCCAATCCCTCTTATTTATTTTACTGTACAGGATTATAGAGGCAATCGCAGTGATCAGAGAAGGGCTCATTCAGCCCATCAGGCAATTGTTTAAGCATGTATGGGTTAGAAAAACGGGTATTTTTAACATGAAATGTTGCGCAATGCACCTTTAAGTAGGCCTATAGTTATATAGTTTTTAATTTTTGTTTTAGTTATTTTAGAACAAGTTAAACTAAATGAGAAATGTTGCCTTGGCAACTAGCTGAAATAAAATATAGCTTGTATAAGATTTATATATATATATATATATATATATATACTTTAAAAGTGTATATAATATATATATATATATAAATCTTATCAAAGTTATAGTGATGCAGTGGTGTTCTGAAATGAGGAGGCAAAGTCTTTTATTAATCAAATGTAAATTCATGTCCCAGTTACACTTAATGTTGTCACATTTTCCTGATTAAACCATTACATTACATAAAAAAATAGAAACCAACTAAAATTCTATTTTGTACGTTTACATTGTATTTAATGATAAATCAATTGTAATTAATGTTCTAGGCCTATTATCCAAGTATAAATCTCATCAAGTTGTGTTTTTGAGCATTTTTACATTTATTCAACAAAAAAATAACTAAATGGCAGTAACAATTTTAACCATATATTTTATTTGTGAACTGATATTCAGCTGTTCTTTTTAAAAGTCAACTTATTTTTGGATCCTCAGTCATCATGCTCGGTAAACAATGTCACAGACATGTATCTTTAATTTCTCTAAACTGGTTGCTCACTCTGTCCATAATCATGGCCTCCAAATTAAGCCCATATACAATGGCGGCCGTCGCATTGATTATCCAGGTTGGATGTGCAGCACATTGGTGGTGGTTGAGGAGATTCCCCCTTCTCGTTCCAGGGGGCACCACATTAGCGATTAAATGGACAGGGGCTCAATATAGACTATTTTGTATTATTATTGTTACCTAATACTCAATACCTCAATACGTGTCAAGCTACCCTGGTCATGTTTCAGGGTTATAGCCTATAACCCTGAAACATGACCAGGATAGCTTGACACGTATTGCGAGATTCTAGAGCCTCTGTGTGTGGCACCAGTTCACCCAGCAAATGTGTAGAAGATATCTAGAAAGCACACTACCCCCTAGTGACAGAATTTATAACTGCATGCACAGAGCCAAGAAATACAACTTCTTGCTGTGTACTGTAGCACAAGGACTTAATGAGTGTATATTTCTATTGAAATCCAGTTTGCTGGTATGCAAAAAAAGATTGTACTACTAATGTTAGTGTATGAAGTGAATAGAAAATCTATCTGTACCTCGTATTCAGTGCAGTTGGGGCCTACCTTGTCTTCTTTTAACCAGGACTATCGGGCTAGGGCAGCTTTCAGTGGGTCTTGACATGTTTAGTCTAAGTCTTCGGTCCAGTGTTTTATGTCATTTTCTTGTTTCAGTTTGTTTTGTTACTTTGGCTCAGCTTGGCATTTCAAGAATTTTGTGTCTGCCTTTTTATTATCAGTGGGTAACACACACCTAAATTCTGTTAGATATTATATGTTGTTTTTTCTAGTTGTAAATATTCTGCAGTTTATATTGGATGTTTCTAATTAAAGTCAGATGTTAGTCTCCTAAAGCCACATTTTAGCCCCTAGCGGTAGTCAGTGTCACACGGAACTTTAAATTGGTTGTTACCCTCCACTTATTCACTTATGTAAAATGAAAGTATGAATATATGCACATAAAACAAATGACTGCCAATACGTCTGAATGAAAAAAGGATTTTTTTTTAGGGCTAATCAACAAATTTAAGAATTTCGTTGTTCTTAAATTATTCATTACCGCCCATTTTACAGAAGTACAGTTCAAAGAAAATAATTTTACTGGACTTTAGTGGGTAATTCCCACTTTTTTTTTCACTAGCTTTGATTAGATTACATCATATCCGGTCTGGGGTTGCATATGGTCTGGCTGCAAAAGTTCAAACATTTCAATGCAACAGAAGCTCAAATTCAGTCAAAACTGACATTTTTCTGAGAAAGTGAAAAGGTGACCCAAGACCATGAAAAAAAAAAAAAAAAAAAAGTTCTGAAGCTAACAAAAACAACAACACTCAAATTCAGGAATATTTTTATATTTAAGTAAAACCTACTTGAGTACACTTTGAAACAAGAGTACAACAAAATAGAATATACTTCAAATGTTGAATATACAAACTAGATTATTCTGAACACAAACATCTTGTTCTCCCTCTTGAAGGACTAATAAAAAGCAAAAGAAAACAAATGTGAAAGAAATGTATTTGCAGTGAAGATGCATGCTGCCGATTGACCTTTCTTTTGTGTTGACAAACTGCCATCGTTCCAGGATTTGGACCCAGATTTGATTACACCCAAATAGTATGGCCTTTTTTAATCCAGATTGAAATGGGAAAGCAAAAATGCTTTGCAGTTTGTTTGCCAATAATACTGTGCTTGGTACAATGTGTGAGGGAAAAAAAACAACAACAACAAAACATGAACGTAACACAAAAGAATAAGCTTGATTTAAAAAAAGAAAAAAGAAGAAAATAACTGTTCTAAGGCTGCATTGTTTATAAATTCAGTAAACTGTATAATTCCTATATACAAAATTCATTTCTTCCCTTAGTAGAGGTGGAGGGAGAATCGACACGTTCCTGTGAAGCACGGGCAGAAGCGTGGACTCACAGTGATCGTCAAAAGAAACTGCTGGTTTTGCCTTGCGATTTTAATGTTAAAGAAAAAAATCTTTATACAAGTTATAAAAAGCTGAATTTATCCTCCCTCAAAAGTTCACATACTTGACTACAACTACTCACTCCTTAGTGTTCTGCTTAGCTGTTATTAGTGTCAAAATAGTTGTTGTTTTTTGTTTTGTTTTAAGTGGAGAACTGTAGTGTTCTTTACATTGGTCCCTTTAACAAATCATAATTGAAATGACGGACATCCAGGTTTAATTCACATGATGTCAGAAATGGGGCGCTGATACAGGCTGGAGTCTTTGCCTGCTTAGAATATATAAAATGAAACCACACTTGAACTTGAAACTGTACAAATCCAGTTTGATTTCCCAGAATGTGATTGAATGGTATCTGGGGATTATAAATTCATTTATTATAGAGTTCATCATGACTGACAAAACGCGTCACTGTTCAGCTCTCTGCTGCGAACTGTGGTTTTGAACCTTCCTCTACCACCTCTGCTGCTGCCTGTGTGGGACTGTCCTGCTCAGGCTGTTCTGCGGAAGTGCTGTCGGGTTTGGACTCTGAGGTCTGGGCTGCGCTCTTTGCTTTTGGAGAGAGCTGGCTCTGCTGAATCTGGATCTGAACTGGGACGGACACCGGACTCTGTGCCGGAGTACACGCCGTCTGAACGGAGATTGGGACTCGAGTTTGCGTCTGGATTGAAACGGGAACCTGCGTCTTCGCATGAGCCGGACTCTGCTGGGCAGGAACTGCCAGTCTGACCACCTGCGTCCCCTGCGCCACAGACACGGGCGTAAGGGCTCGGACGCCCATCAGATTGATGCCTGTGGGGCTGCCCGGTTTGGACTGAAGCTGGCACTGCGTGAGCTGGGATGCGGGGATGGTGATTATCTTGGCGAGCTGAACTGTGATCCTGTCACCATTCTCTGCTGTGGCGGGCACCATCGTTGGCATGGTCTGGATTAGGACTTTGGGTGCGTTCATGCCAGTCGCTGAGCCAGTATTGGTGGGCGCTGTGGTGAAGAGCGAAGGGTTTGCTGACTGCACGGCCACTGTGGAGATCTTCTGTCCCAAGGAGTTTGTCATAACAACCGGCACTTGCATAGCAACCCGCACAGTCCTGGACACAAGATGATGTTTTAAAACAACAATTTTTGTCACAGAAAATTTAAGTATACTCATACTCTATACACTATACTCATTAACAAGTTCGTTATTTTATTTTTGGGGTAAGCTAGAATTAATTTACATGATTTAAAAAACATTTTTCTCATAATGTACTTTGCTGTAGCAACTCTTTTAACCCTCTGCCTGAAACGCTCTGTTTTAGTTACCATCTCTTTAAAGCCCACCTTTATGGAAAAAAAGCCCAGTCTGATTTGATTGGTCAGCTAAACGGTATTATTTCTGTAACTGAGCCGTAACTATTGGAAGTCCAATTTTTGCCCTCACAGTGAAAAGACAGCATCTCCTTAACATAGTGAAATCACTTAACCAATTGTTCTTTGAGGATTGGTAAAAGCAGCCAGTGGGCGGGCATTATGCAAATGTGTAAAAGTGATGTGGCTAATAATGGCAGGACTACAAACAAAGCATTACAGGCAAATTTCTGAAATTAACTCCCTTTGCTGTAGACATTGAGCTTTGTAATTTTACAGATTGTTTAGATGCACATTATACACTAAAGGATAGGTAAATTAACATTTAAAAAAAAAAAGCTTAACAGGTGCCCTTTAAGTCTGGTTACCTGGGTGCGTTGGCATTGGAAATAATGGTGGCATGGGACGGATCTGTTGTCGTGGAGACGGTTACGATGCGCTGAAGGGGAGTTGCAGTGAGTGCAGCTTTAGCTTTCGGGGAGCCTGGGTGGACTATAGTCCTACCGCCCCCTCTCAAGATGGCAGGCGTTTTGGAGAGGTCAGACGTCAATAGAGTGTCAGATGAGGGAGGAACGCGTTCATAGACCTTCTCTCCGATTACGTCATCGCCAGGGTCGCACTTATCGTCATCGATGATGACAATGTCTTTAGGCATTTCCTTAAACTGGTAGACCAACCTCTGACCCTCTACTTTAGCCAAGATACCTCTCTGATAGTAATACCTGAGAGAAACAGAGACATCAATTAAATATACAATAATATAATTCCAGTTATGGATGCCAATTGGTCAATATGTCATCCCAGCCATGAGAATTGTCTTCAATATCTTACGATGTTTGACAAGGTTCTCTCTCACCTGAGCGCTCTGCCCATGGTTTCATAGTTCATGTCTGGTTTGTTCTTGTGTTTGCCCCAGAGCTTTGACACAGCTTTAGAGTCCACCAGCTTGAAGATGCCTTTCTCCCTCTGTGTCCACTTAATGTACCTGGGACAGGTGTTCTTATCCTGCAGAAGGTCCAACAGGAACTCCCACAGGTATGTACTTCCTGTAAGAAAACACAAATGCAGCATAAGATCCACATAATCTAAACAATATTAGCTAATTAACAGCCACTGACACTAGCAAAACACAACTGATAACCTAATAAATTCATGTCAAGAACATGTCAAACATTTCACAATCATATAGTAATTTACTATATACACACTACATATTCAATAATGCTCATTATACACATGTAATGTTACCAGGGTCAGTATTAATTTGATTTTTAAAAAAAAAAGTCAAAAGAGTAATAGTGTGAAATATTTTTACAATTTAAAGTAAATGTTTTCTATTTTAATGCATTTTAAAATGTACTTAATTTCTGTGTTGGCAAAGCTGAATTTTCAGCATCATTACTTCATTAATCTTACTTGTATATGATAACAACAAATTATATATTGTACAAATTGTGAAGGGTTTCTAAAGTAATGAAAAATCAACCAAAACCATTTAATTCAGTAACATACTGAATACTATCATGATGTACACAATGTGCAACAATAACAAACTCATGTGTGACCCTGGATCACAAAGCCAGTCACAAGTAGCACGGGTATATTTGTGGCAATAGCCAACAATACATTGTATGGGTCAAAATTATTGATTTTTTTTTTATGACAAAAATCTAGGGGTGTAAATATTAATCGATTCGTATCGATCCATCGATTATACAGCCGACAATTTGATGCGTCCGCAAGAGTATCGATTAATGTGTATCGATAAAGAGTATCGATTTCAGCATCAGCTCCGACATATGCGTACAACCTATTCCTAAGCTGCGCTAACCTCATTATAGTCTTCTGCTTCACACGCGTTACTTATGTTTCACAGTCTATCCATGTTCACACACATTGTTGAGTGACTTTCAAGATCGATGGAACCGTCAGAGCGAGCTGGCAATAAAAGTGAAATGTTACACACTCCTGTCGGCGTCAAGTCATGGGTGTGGAAGTATTTTGGCTTCAGGAAAACAGATGGAGCAGTGGTAAGAGATGCTGCCGTTTCCAAAGACTGCTATAGTGTAACATACACATTATGTGAATAGAATACTGTGGCGAGCAGGACGCGGCTGACGTGAGAGAACGGCACGAGGCCGGTGTTAATGAACGTCACCTGTGAGACGCACCGGTCTCGCATCTCTCACGGAGGAGCGGAAGCATAAAAAGAGGAGGGACGAGCTGAAGACCGAGAGACCGGTGCGTCTCACAGGTGACGTTCATTAACCCTCACGCCACCGGCCTCGCACCGTTCTCTCACGTCCCTCGTCCTCCTCGCCACAAATGCGGTTTCTGTATTCTCAATAAAAGTTTTTTTTTTTTTTATATTATTTATTTGCAACTTAATAGATATCATGTAAAAAATATCTAGTATTGAATCGTATCGAATCGAATCTTATCGCGGGAAATTCTGAAGTATCGAAAATAATCTAATCGTTGGCTTAAGAAATCGGTATCGTATAGAATCGTCATTAAGGCTCCGATTTACACCCCTACAAAAATCATTAGGATAATAAGAAAAGATCATGTTCCATAAAGATATTTTGTAAATCTCCTACCGTAAATATATAAAACATTTATTTTTGTGAGAGAATGCAGCACAAGCGCAAACATAAATGGACAACTTTAAAGGTGATTTGATCAATGTTTCAATTGTTTTGCACCCTCAGATTCCAGATTTACAAATAATTGTATCTCAAATGTTGTCCTATCCTAACAAACCATACATCAATGGAAAGCTTATTTATTCAGCTTTCAGATGATGTACGAATCTCAATTTCCAAAAATTGACCTATGTGACTGGTTTTGTCCAGGGTCACATGTGAGAATATCACCACATTACAGTCACATAATTTTATGCAAATGTACTTTATTCCTTTTTGATTTGTACTTTTGATATATTATTTGAGTGAAATAGGGCCCAGATGTTTCTTCACCCATATCATATGCAAATAACACTGAATGTATAGGATGTACCTTTCCCTTCCCTAGACTTTTTCTTGATGCCTAGATCTGGAGATCCGTTTGAAATGTGATGGGGTTTGGGTTTCCGCCCAGCTAAAAGGATGAAACGCACAAAAAAAAAGTTAAAAAGCTTATAAAAAAATATAAAAAAAACTTCAGACATCCTATGTAACCTTTACACACAAAATCCTCTAAATAGCACATTTGGTAATATTCTTGTGTTCTCACATTTTCTTCTCTTGCTGGGCTCTGTCTCCAGCATCTCAGGTTCCTGAAAAACTGTAACCACCTCCATGGGCTCGGAGTCCTCTGTGCTGACCTCCACCACCGTCTCTGTCAGCACGTCAGGTCGCATAGCCGCATGCAGGAACTCCGAAGTGTTGATACATGGAGGCACAAACACCTCTACACAACAGAAAAACAAATCATTATAGAAATTATGTTTTTCTCACTGAGTGGCTGTCTACAGCCATGTGAAAGCTATTTTTGAAGGGGGATGAGAAAGCACTGTTCACCTGGGCTCCGGTCTCCACGCAGGCTGGAGGGAGAGTCCATGTGTAGAAGAGCTTCAGCAGCCTCAATGGTTTTATCAGAGCAATGCACACTAGAGCCATGAACTGATGCTTCCACTGCAACAGATAAAACACACACAAACAAAACTTCATATTCCTGTGAACTTGGTTTGTAAAATTCTTGGGTGCATATTACAATTTTAAAAAGTATCATAACATTTATACAGCATTATTTAATACCAAAGTGTCTACACCAGCATTTAATAGTATACCTTTATATATAAAGAAAAACACCTTGAACAATCTGTTTAATACAACTTACTGGTTAATATTGTGACAAACAGCCTTACTTTATTACATTCTTCAGTTGTACAGTTTCTTATGGTTAATCATTTGATTTTGATCTGTCAGTTATTTTGATATATACACTACAGTTCAAAAGATCAGGACGATAAGATTTTTTAAATGTTTTTGAAAAAAATCTCTTTTGCTCAGCAATTATTTAGGCAAAAATACAGATATATTGTAGAAATATTAATACAACTTAAAATACCCGTTTTACTATTTGAATGGATTTTAAAATGTCCTTTATTCCTGTGATCCAAAGCTGAATTTTCAGCATCATTACTCCAGTCTTCAGTGTCACATGATCCTTTAGAAATCATTCTAACATGCTGATTTACTCCTCAAGAAACATTTCTTATTATTAATATTAATGTTGAAAACGGTTGTGCTGCTTAATATTTTTTGTGGAAACTGATGTTTTTTCAGGATTCTTTGATGAATAGAAAGTTTACACGAACAGCATTTATTTAAAACAGAAATCTTTTGTAACATTAAAAATGTATTTACTGTCAATATCAATCAATTAAATGTGTCCAAATTAACTAAAAGTAAATTCAATAAAAGTAATCATTTCTCTCTCTCTCTCAAAAGAAAATCTTACAGACCCCAAACTTTTGGACAGTAGCGTAATTAATAAAGGCCACATACAATGAGGACTGCAGGTACAAAATCTTCATGATTCAAATTTAATATTTGTACACCGAACTCTCAATAGAGGGTGCTATTGGGTGTAAAACCTGTGTGTTCATGGTTACTCAAAATCATATCTAGCAACAATTATAAATCAAAAACAGAAAATATATGGTTGTGTAAGTTAATTGAATGACAAACTTAAATGTGTGATTGACACTTTAATATGGTACTTATGAGCTTTAAACTACTGACTGACAAATAAACTACCTGACAGATAATACCAATAATCATTGAAAGTCATTCACTTTCAAAGAGAGCTGACATAAGACAATGCAAGTTAAGCACTCTGAGAATGAGTATTTAGAATCACTTAATATAACCAACACAAATGGGTGTGAGAGGACATAGTGTAAGTCCCGTAGGACCTATTAATGCAAAAGTGCAACTGTAGACTTCTTGAGATCCTGCCTTTGAACCTAAATAGATCCACAGGAGTCGTATCTGCGACCAGTCTACTCAAAGCCCAATTAGTGTGCTCTAAGACAGTTTAGATAAAAGAATCTGCTAACTGACAAGTCGCCCTGGCTCTAATTAAGAAACAAGTGCAGAGACTGATCTCAGACAAGCAGTTAATGGATATATAGGACTGAACCTCAAGCCTCATTTCTCTTTGACGTTAACATCCAGAGCAACTAGCACCTGTGCCAGTCTATCCAAGCCGTCACTCAAGTCCCATTAAAACCTGACCCTGCCCATGTTTGGCTATGTTGGTCTGTTGCTGCTCACGGGGGCTATCTTTAGGCAGTCCCAGTCATAAACACATACACACGGTGTCCTCTAGAATGGGTGACCCGGCATGCATTTACTTCCTGTATTCAGACAGATCTGTCCTTGGAGACAGGACACAAATGTGTAGTTATTAACAGAAAATACTGAAAATCCATGTGGCTGCCAACACTTCAACCCTAAGAGAATAAGACTGCTTTCAAACAATTATTACAAATTAAAAATAAAGTTATACCTGTAAAAAGGCTGTTTTTGTTGTGTTTTTGACTACAATAGATATTCATATATTTTTATTCTTAAAATGCTTGAACAAAATTAATGAACTTGCAAAAAATTATGTTATTTTCAAACCTATATTATTTACTTGTGGAAGAACATGAGTTAAGAATTGTTGACCATTTTTATTTTTGAGTTAACTACCCTATTAAGACAAAGGGGATATTTGATCTGTAAAACCCAAATCTGGAAGAAGAAAAATACTGCAGTCAAAGCAACACTAAAATCTCTTAAAAATAAGCAGAAAATACAACACATGCTTTGTCAATATGAGCAAGGAATGTAGATTCACTTAAATCTAAAATACTACAACAGCCGTTAAATAGCAGTCAGGTCATTGTTACCATTCATATAATTATAAACATTAAATCATTAATAGTAGTAATGATTCAGCTGAACGACTGAACATAGTGGTACTATTTCATCTGTCACTAAAATAGCGGTCCACAAGAAAGTAGTGCTGTCCCTCCTCACTTCCGTGTTTACAGTCGTCAGAGCTTTCCCTCCAGTTCTTTCTGAAGACGCTCTCCGAGCTTCCTGCCACTCAATCCCCGCCCCGAATCTGATTGGGCGACTTTCTATTTAACGCCCCAAGAAACAGACAAGACGATTGGTCAGGTGTAGGATTTCGAAAGCGGCGCGAATACTATTGGACGACGAGTGCTGTCACTCAACATTTAGACAGCCCAGTGGAATAACAATGCTTCCGCCATCAAATTAGCTCTAAAATCTAAACGTCCACATTAAAATAAGTCAAAATATACACTCGACACTTTTACAGCAACACATTACAGGTCAGAAAAAACAAAGTGGTGTTTAAAGAAATAATTAAGCTATAGCCTAAATGTTGCTCACGGAGATTAACATTCAGCGCTACATTGAGCGACCACGTTTAGATAACGGGACATCTGCGATGTGAAGCAAACATGTATCTTATTACACAAACTCTTTGTTTTTGCATACAAATTAACATTATAAAGAAATTAAAACGTAGTTGTAATGTAGTTGCTCCGCGTGTATGTTTCGCTCTAACATGCCACATTTCCTTTGAAGATGAGGCATTAAAATAAACCAATAGTCAAACGTAAAGCTCCCAGGCACTATTTTAGAAAGAATACAATTAAATCAACAGATTTCACTAGAATTCACATTTTAGTAAGCTGTATTTAAGAGTTAAAAATAAAACTCAGTGCCCTTCCGACTCCAGACAGCGTGGCAAAGACGTAGGAAAGACAACATCTCTCCCACTTCCTGGTTTCAGAGCAGCGCACCACCTCCAGAGAAACCCGTTATTTTAACACACTCCACATCAAAAAAGCCCTCAGCGCCGTGCAAACTGAACACTGTGCACGCTGATCACGCATAACACAGCATGCACACCTTCACGCTACTTTTCCACACTCCAAGAAAACAGACAAGAAAATCAGGCAACGCCATGCAGGTTGCCAACCAAGGTGATCACTTCCTGAAATGCCCTCCATTACTTTAGAGCACAACTTCGCGGATCTCAGCGCTGTGGCGCGAGCACTGCTCTGCTGCACCCCAAACATACCCACGCTGGCGAGAAAGAACACGCGCTTTGGTCTTTTTACCTGCTCGAATAAGTAGATCGAGCTGGTTAGCGGGTCCCTCATGCAGCGACGTCGCCATGTTTCGTCCAGAGGTGCAGATTCACATTGACTCGCATTGAAAGCGTTTAGAGACGCACGACTCGTAGATCACTCCGCCTCCACAGGAAATCTCTACAAACTCAACAGAGCGCACAGATCCTTCCGCGCCAAACACAGGAAATCCTCCGCGCGCTCTGCGTTACGTTCGACTTACGTCAACAGCGGAGAGAAAGAATTAGCAAGTATTCGTTTACAAAAAAACGACTAACTTCGTTTACAAAAAATACGTGTACATACGTATTTAACAATGCAATAAATATAACATTCTCCACAGTGAATTAAATCCGTGAAAATAACAGTTCTTCTATGACAGTAGGCGTTTCCATTTCCATAACCCTTTACCGTCGTACTTTGTATTTTATTCTTATCTAGAGAGACATTCTTTATAAAATGTTCTTAAAGATCAAAGTTTAAAGTGCTTAAAATACAATAGGACGATGTTTAAGTATCAGAGACATCTATAAATCACTGAAAAAATGTTCTGAACAGACACGAATATGACATAAGTATGCGTTTCTTTTTCTATATAATTTTTTGCATGGCATTTTGTATTTCATTGTCTAGACGAGGGTTATTTTTATAAAAATGTTAAGCACTTTCAACTGTGATCTCAATGTCTCCGAAATATCTCTGAACGAATATAATTGGGACTTTTATGATGTCACGTGACATTATAAGAAGTATAAATCGTTAAGTGACTTAAGTATTGACATGAGTATTACAAGTCATTAAGTATTACAATCAGGTTTAGTTTAATACTTGCAATAAGTATTATAATGTGAGAAATGACCATTTTCTGCACCTAACTTCACAGAATGTCCACTAGAGGGCAGTAGAGACCCATCACTGACAGGGCCTTGGCACCAAATCTATTTAAAACACGATTTTATACGTTTTACTCAACCTCATGTTGCTCCAAACAAGTGTTGCTTACTTTCTCAAAAGCAACACAAAATTAGATGCTAGGAAGACCCAGACATCATTCACTTCCATTGCTTTTTTTTCCATACAATAAAAGTGAATGATGAATGAGGCTGTCGGTTCTGAACATTCAGCTTAGCGTTTCCTTTTGTGATCCATGAACAAATTAATCTACTATGGGTTGGACAACATGAGGGTGAACAAATGTTGACTTTCCCTTTTGGGTGAACTCTCTCTTTAAAGAGCCAATCTCTGCTAGATCAGTAAAATATAGTTCTAAACACAGAAATTGTTGTAAAAATAGAAGCGTAGCCCTGTGTTTGACTGCTAGTAACTGTAACCAATACAAGAAAGCTCTCTTTGTGCCACAAGGTTGATTTTATAGCAGAATCATGCATATGTGGTTTTAACCTTTGAAATGATGCATCACTAAATAGCCCATAAATCCCAGCCTATAGGGATGGCATTCCATATACTAACAAACAAGAGTCTGCATGCACAAAAAAACAGGATACCTAATCACTGACATAACCGACATAAGAGAGCAATGTTCAACTGTAAAAGTCAACTCTCTCCCCATGCCTGAGACTGCAGGATTTAATGTGCATCAATGTCCACCATGAAGTATTTTGTTTGAGTGATTAAGGTTTACAAATGCATAATGCTGGATACACAGTCAGATGTTTTACAAACGTTGGCTTCACAAAGTCTCACTGCCAACACCAACTGCTGGATATCACAGGATTCAAAATATTTGACCATGCAATCACTAGAACAGAGAGCATTTTGCTAATGTGAACGAAAGCACTGGCTGTGATAAGTGTGTGGGTAAAAAGTTCCTTATCTGCCATTTTAATGGGGATTCATTCATGTTTTGAACAACTTATGACAAATCATGAACAGACACGACAGTGCTTTTGTATTGAAATGCATTTCAATAACTAGAATACATTGATTTTTTACAGGCATGCGATCAGCCAAGGACAAAAAAAGAGGATACCCCCCCCCCCCCACCCATTTAATATACTACATAACAACAATAATATATGTTATTAATAAATTATTATAATTATTATTATACATGAATAATGATACATTATTAATATATTATTATATATAACAACATATTTTATTATAATTATAAATTATTATTTGTATTCTAGTATCATGACAAAAATTCAATCAATAAACAAATTAATACTGTTTTAAATTGCAATCCTGCAAAATAAAAAAGTATTTATTCATTATAATAATAATTTTACAGAGCAACAGTGCAGCCCTATCTATTAACATTTATGTTTATATGTTTAGAGTGCATTCATTAAAGTGTAAATTGCAGGTTAACCACCACAACCAATTAATGTGTAAATTAAAGAGCTCAATATGTATATATTTAAAAATTTCTGTCTTAAAATGCGTTAAAATAACATTTATTGGGGTTTCTTCAAAGGTAGCATGTTTTTTACAGTAGCTGGGTGATGACGTCATAAGAGGGAGCGCGGGCGGTAATGCACTCACTCTGTGTGTTCGGGTTGAGGGAGAATAAAACGATTCGCGGGACTCCCGCAAACTAGAAATATCTATGAATAAAACATAAAAACGAATACATTTTTATTCATCTGTTGCAGAAAAGCAACAAGAACAACTAAAACAAAATAGAAACAATTTACAGGCCAGAGTTTCTATTTATAACATGTTTGCAGCGTTGAGCGATGTAGCCAATCACAGACATATGTGTTGATTTCTAGGAACGCAATGCCCAATCAGAAGCATTTACGATAGACTTCCCTCACCAGGACATAAAAACTGCTTGTATAGAAACAGCAGTAAAATATGATAAAAATCGCTGAAAAAGTTTGATGACTTTGCCCCAAAATAAGGTTTAAAACGCCTTTTTCCCCACAGGTTATACGTTTACTACGCATGCGCAAGGGTTCTCGTCTCCGCTGTCGCAAACCTCAACTGTGCGCATGCGTCAGTGGAACCAGACGATAGGCTTACATGTTTCCCGGCTTGACTGTTAAAAGCAGACGATTGGGCATGTGCATACAACCGCCATCTTTGGCGTTACGGGTTTTCCCTATAGGCTATATAGTTGTATTGAGGATTGAGGAAGTGGCATGTCTCTATATAAATTGTCTCTGGTTATAATAATGACCCACGTATTAAAAAATGGTTGGGTTTAAATCGGGCTCGGGCTCATAATTACAGTTAATGTGTCGGGCCGGGCTGGGCTCGGACACAACGTGCTCGGGTAGGGTCGGGCTTGCATACCTGAGATCTACCTCGGGTATGCTAACACTTACAGGCACGAATCAGTCGTTTGTCCTTGGGGAACTTGTGGAGAGCCTCTCCCCCGTTTTTGATGTATTCGTACATCCCGCACAAACACAATAGTTACCCAATTTTGCTAGCTAGGTCTCCAATATAACTGCTAACCTACTTGCCGTTTAGACTAACGGTAACTCTAGGCTTGGAGCATAGACCAGGCATAGACAGTAAAAGCTTGGAGTCCCTTTTATGACGTCACGCCCAGCCTAGTGGAAGGGAGGGGGCGTGCTTAAAACCACTGTAAAACGTACCAACTTTTCATATTATATGGAGCATTTTGGTATAAAAAAAACCAACATAAAAAACAATTCTGGGCGGTTCTTATCTTTATGTTGTGTAGTAATGTAGTAAGCACATTGCATTATCTTCGTGAAAAATGTAACCTGCAATTTACACTTTAAAGATTGTGTATGCGTGTCCATGAAGTGTTACTGAAGCATGAAAGAGTGTATCTGGTCAGGTGTGCCCTTAGGTTGACTGGGAATCGTTATGTTTGGAACAGTGTTCTCACCTGTCTCCAGCACCTCAGTCTCCACCTCCTGCTCCTCAGCCACTCCCTGCATCAGGTAAGTCTCATCATCGTACACCAGCACCTGAGCAGCGAAGCCCTGCTCCAACCGCGCACCGGGCACTGGCTCCACGATCACCGCGGGGTACTCCTCCTCTCCTTCCACCTCTCCCTCCATCTCTCCCTCAACCTCATATACACCCTCCTCCTAGACAGAACAGAGGTGTCATGATCAACAAGAAACCAGAAAACTAAACTTTCCAAACATTCATTCTAACAGATATAGATTTCAAGAGTTGCTGTGTAAAGTTTTACTGCATTATAATGAACAAGATTTTTGAGTTCTACAAAACTTTAAAGGGTCGTTCACACTAAGAAAGATAACTATAAAGATAAATACTATTAGTAGTGGTCGATCGGATCGATAGGGTGGTCAATGGGCTATATATATATATATATATACACACAAAAAAAATTATCAGCCGATGATGATGATGATAATTAAAATTATGCCAAATAACGTCTGATATATCAGTCAGGGCAATATACTGTATTAACATGAGCGTCGTTCACACAAACGGACGATTAAGTTGTCTACTACTTTAAATGCTCAATCTCTTTAAAGTCAGGTGGATTCTGATAGATATTTTATTAGCTGGAAAAAATCTTTCTGGAAGAGATTCCAATGATATTGTTCCTGTGTTGTTATAGCTGTGGTGTGGACTTCCCAATTTAGAACGATTATTAAAACGATATAATTATAGTTATCATGACTGGTGTAAAAAATTCCTTAACATATATTAGAAAATAAATATCATAAGCTGGTATTCAGAGGATGTCACAAACATAGTCTTGCATAGACAGAATTTTTACAATTGGCATCACACTTGATCCACTTTGCAGCTTAAATTCTGACTAAAAACTCACTTTTACATGAAAAGTTGGCCTGACAAACAATTAGCTTTTTTTAAAAACACTGAAAGTCCACATGAAATCAAAATAGACGTGACTATTTACTTTATTAGTGCACATCAGTGAGTGTTGTTACAATTTATTATTACTGTTCCATCTCATGGATCATCTGATGTATATGGGCTGGCAAACTCTAATCTGATTGGCTGATCTTTGGTCAGTTCTTGACAGAATAAACTACAAAGTTGACAAACGTCTTGCCAGTAGACAAAAATATGCAAGACTATGGCAAGCCTGGTTCCTGCAAATTGTGTAATGCCAGCCAATCATATTGCAATATTTGAGTGCAATATACATCAGACAAGTGGGCTGTAGATATGAGACTAGCAGCAACTTAAAGTCCCCCTGGGAGCAAATGTATGCCTTTAAACTCATCTCAAGATGTATCAGAATGGTAATGCGTTTTAGGTATCGCTCTCTACATCAGACACATAACGGTAATTAATATGATTAGCCTTTTGCTTGACTACGTTATCAAACCGCTAATAATGTGCTGATAATGTTACACAAACCACGTTCCTGTTCGCCGTCTCAGAGTCTTCTAAAAATAGTATCCTTAGAAACGCTTTGAACAACTTAGAACATCAGTGGAGAAAAGCATCATAACATTGTAATATACATCATATACATAATAGGGCTGTCACTTTATGTTCGAAAATCGATTGCACAATCGATCGGACCAACCAACACAAGTTTCGAAAACGAAAATCGATTTTAACTGCCTTTTTCTTCTTTTTTATACCAAAAATGTGTTTTGGGTGGATAGGTGGACAGATCAATACAGTACACAGAACATGTAGGATGTTGGAAAATAACTGTCTTTTCTGTTAACCAAATGTTTTTTAATATTAGCTATTACTTCAATGCAAGTGAACAAGCGCACCGTTATTTGTTCCTTAGTGACGTGTGTACAAGTAAGCCAGAAATGCACAGATTCTGCGCAATACACTGTATTTAATATATCATGAGGACTCACGAATTGTGTATTTGCACTAAATCTGCGCAGATTTGGCTTACACGAACTTCACCAGCAAAGTCAGTAAACATAGAAACAAGCCAAATTGGCTAGTGATTTGACAGCGTTACCCGCCAAAGTTCATTTTTACCCGCATTTGGCGGGTTGGAGGGTGTTAATATCAATCTCTGAATGTTGCACTCCTGTTTGTCATTGTGCACGAAACTTCACGCCAATAAATCATCAGAAATATTCCTGACTTGTGCGCGTCTCAAGCGCCCTCTTTACGTTCGTCCTAATGCCTGTTAGTTGTCCGTAGATTTGCCTATATTTGGTGTTGAAAATTGAAACGTCTTTAGACAAGGAAAATAGATTTTCCAATTGATTCAATGAACACTTATGTCTCAAATCGAACAGGATTTTTTCACAAAAGTGACAGCTTAATACATTAACATTAATACATAATCCACCTGCTATATTGCTAAATGTACCCAGTTTTTCATATCAACAGAAAAATATAGTGTGATAACCTGGCTTAACTTGAGACTCCCCTGCTTAAGAGCATAGTTAATGATATGCTAAATCCCACCCACACGTTGACGTGATTGGTTACAACATGTGTGTGATGTAAAAAAACAAGGGCGGTTTCAAACTGCGTTTTGGTAAACTGCGTTTTTAAGGAGAAAATACTCAGCATGTCAGCAATGGTGTTGATTGATGAATTTGCACATGGTTTGCCTTAAAGCATCTTACAAACACCACAATATAAACAACATTAAAAACTTGATTTAAATTTTTTTTAAAGCGGCAAATAGGCTTAAAGAAAGTTTTGTAGTTGTGAAATCCTTACCGGTAAATGGTCGTCCACTGCAGTGACGTACTCCACCACTGCTCCTCCACTGTCTACAAGCACCACAGACGTCATGACTCATGCCCCACACTCTGCTGACCCCCAGTGGCAAACTCCAGGACTGCAGTCGGACAGCACGACAAGAGACAAAAGACATGAAGTGAAAAAAATTATCATTGGCACTCCAAAGAAACAATATTTCTCAAACATTCATGAACCTCATGTGCAGAGCTAAAGCAACCCGCTCTCCTGTTCTGTCAGTCTGGTTCAACAGGAAACTCACTCATGCTAAGAAACCGAACACCAAAACAGGAAGCCTGTCTGTGAAACACTGACGCCATGGCAACAGCCAACATGCTTTTGTTTGTGGAGCTGAAATGAACTATTACAGCTGCAAAATTTTCCCAGTCCTTCTCAATACACCTTCGTAAAAGAAAGGGAGAGAAACAAGAAACGTCAGCGGGACAGTCTAGCAGCTGAATTATTGAGTGACTTCGCTACCACGCTCCAGACAGCTAAAGTGACTGGGCGACACAATAAAACGGCAGCACGCACATGTTCAGACCATTGAAAATAAAAGGGAAACTTCTGTCATTATTCACTCACCCTCATGTTTTTCCAAGCCTGTATGACTTAATTTTATCCGAAAAACACAAAAGCTGAGGTTAGGCATGAATGTTCTCGCCATTCTTTTCAATACAATAAAAGTGAAATGCTGTAAAGCTCCAAAAAGGACAGAAAAAGCCCCATGAAAGTATTCCATATGACTAGCGATGCATTTAAATTCCAGTTACTGAAAATGATCAACCTAAAATGCCATTTTCGGCTTTCGGAAAGAGAAAATGTGAATAGAAAGTTAAACTATTACTTAATCATAAGATAACAAAAACACTGACATCAAGAAATAGCAGAATCCATTTGAAATCTCATGCAATACAAAAGGAAACATTTCTCTTGTGAAAAGGCAAAGAACAGCTTGTCGTTTCAGGGTACACAAAGGCTTATATTAGCCAATTGCCACTTTTATTAATATTAATGTTAGTATTCTGTTTACTATTCGCTAGTAGTATTCAGTAAAAAAAAAAAATCTCTATCTGGAATAGTTTTTAAAGTCAATATGTGCATAATACACTGCATAGTTTTTAAAATATTACATTAAAGATTCTCAGAGCGTAGCTGTCATAGAAATAACTAAACAAAAAACAATCAAATCACTTAGAAAATGTTAAGCAAATGCTTCAAATCAAAGGCTAATATTAAAATTGAATTGTCCCAAATATACATTTTTAGCCAAGATGTTTCATTTCATCACAACATAAGTCTTCTGGAGTCATCCGATAGCATTGTGTGAGACAAAAAATGTAAGTTATTTACAACTGTACGTCTGTACCCTTCCCACAGCTCTTAAAACTCAAATAATAATTGCATGCGTGTTGTCTGTTGTGGTAACCGACTATTTTTATGGTGCTTTTTACCTTTGGAGATCCAACAAATTAGTCTGCATTCAGTTGCATTGTATGAAGAACCGTATGAAAATTCTGCTAAACTCAAATGAGCCAGACAGAGTAAATGAAAGAATTGAACTTACACTGCATAACATGTATTCATGGCACCACGATGTTTGCTTTCCCTCTCATTAATCGCATAGAGTAAATAAAGAACACCATGGTGATGACAGAACCTGAAGATTGTTAAAGTCATCTGATAAATTCCCAGTTCAATTGCCACAGCAACGCAGTCACAAGGTCTGCGCAGGGGCGAAGAGGTGTGCCAACTAAACGTGACACACGCACACACACTTCCTCACAGATGCATCTGGATCATGTTATCCGCAAATGACAAGTTTCTTTCAGCTTCCCCATTAGAGCTTTCCCCATAACTGCTGTTAAAGAAAAACTTGTGCTTTAAGCTCATTAAATATAAAGAAATGACTTCACATACAATCACTCATCACCTTTGGCTGAAGAGCTTGATGAGTACTATTACTTGAAGGGTGTTTCAATTCAACTCAAGCTGTGTTATTAGATAGCATCAAGGAAGTTCAAGCAGTAATTCATCTGTTTCCAACCTATTGTTCATGGTGCAGCCATGGAATTCCACAGCGTTTCTTTTCCATTCCAAGACGTATCTCAATTTCCTAGGACACATTCTAAGACGTTCTTGGTCCACTTTAGCCATCGCTTCTTGTCGTTGCAAAATCTCCACATTCCAACAAACTGACTCGACAGAAGACAGCCACATTTCCCACAGCACCATCAGGGAAAGAGTGAGTTAGGACCGAATCAGAGAAGTGCACGTAGTCTGCACCGTAGCATTTGGCACACTGTTGCTTTCGTTTCCCGTCTTGTTCACACCTGTTCCTCTATGTCTTCATTCTTTAATGGCGCTGTATCTTTCTCTTCTCAGTCGTTCACTCTATCATGCTCACATCTCAAGGGTGAGGCAGCATTTGTAAGTTCGACTCAGCATTCTGTGAGGCAGGATCACATGGTCTGAGCTTTCCGAACAGGCATCACATGACCAGGGCACAACGCTGCTTTTGTGTCCTCAACAGACTCTCCAGTGATGCAACGTCCCACCTTTAGAAACACACACACGCAGTGGATGCCAAAATCCAGCCTCCACCCAAAAGTCCTCCAGATGCAACCAATTATTTCTCAATGAGAATCTCGCCTCTGTCAAAACACATCACCTAACTGACAAAAACCCACTTCTGTTTTTACTAGATTCAGTTCAACTCTGTAGCCACATAACCTTCTTCCATGGAACACAAGAAGAGATATTTTAAACAATGGTTATGCTGCTCTAACCATAAAATAAAAGCCTACAATGACAAAGAGCCTTCAAGCCCTGTACAAGTATGACTGCATTATATTCAGAGTCTTAAGTCAAAATCTGCTGAAGGGTAATAATGGAACAACAGTTTTAAAAGGTGATTTTTCACTATTATATACTACACAGGATCTGCATTTTTATGGGTTGAATTAAAAGATTGTTGTTATAAGAGACAATAAAAACAACTGTGCCTCAAAACCATAAATAAACCAAAAAATAAATTTGATTTTCAAAAGTCAACGAATTTGTGACCGCTGAATGTAACATTTTTGACAAACCAAACATGTCAGTATCTGAGTAACAAGTAATTTATTTAAGCCACAAAATAATAAACTTCATTATCTAAAAATAAGCATAATGAACTATGCTAAAAGCATTTCAAATGTCTCCAGCACATTATATAATAACGGTGACATCATGCACATTATGAGTTTAGTCTACAAACTTTGTTTCTTTACAAAGTGACATCGCCAACTACTGCCCTGGCATGCATAACACAGCAATTTTAGTACTTTTCGCAGATTTAATATAAATTACATTTACATTTATTCTAGTGCTGGGGAACGATTACATTTTTAAATCGCATGATTTTCTACGATTAATCGCATAGTGCGCAAAATTCAATAATGAATTTGAAAGTAGTGTATTGCGTACTTTTATTTTAAAAGTACTGCTATATAAAAAAGTGCTATAAAATTTGGTTTGCAAACACTTTAATCAAATAAGGTGCTTTTTAACAGCAATATTCCCTTTACACAGCAGTTCAAATATGTATTGTAAGAGACTCGTCCATTTCGGGCTCGTTTATACATAAAAGTCACGCAGTGTGTCCAATTTCCACCCAGTTATTATTTGGTTACACAAACTGTATGTAATTTAATTAAATTTTCATTTAATTTAAAGTAAACTATTTTAGCTTCTGTCTGTAATGCCCTGTCACAGGAAGGAAAGACTAAGAACATTATTTGAGGCATATTAGTATAGATTTTACTAGTATCAGTGTTAATATAGGTTAACAAACTATATAAAAAAAATATCTTTACTTGAAATAAATAAATTTGAACTCACATAAAATAAAATATAAACAAGTTTAGTTTTATTAGGCCTAACCTGATGTACCAAACTAAAACTGAGATATAAATTTATAAAAAACTAACCCTAACCCTATACAGACATAAAAAATAAAAATAAAAATAAACAAACTAAACTAAAACTAAACCTAAAAACAAAAACTAAATAAAAATTGACTAAACAACAGAATTACTAAAAATTAACTAAAAATTACAATGAAAGCAGAATTAAATTGAATTCAAAATATTAACAAAGTATCTCAGTGATACTAAAATAACACTAGAATGGCGATATTTGTTACAGTGCATTTTACATACTGCGACTGATTCAAGCTGATAGAAGAGCAACTTTGACTGAAAAAAACACTCGTTACAACTGAGGTATGCAGCAAAGCATTTGTGAAGCCACAACACGCACAACCTTGAGGCGGATGGGCTACAACAGCAGAAGACCCCACCGGGTACCACTCATCTCCACTACAAATAGGAAAAAGAGGCTGCAATTTCCAAGAGCTCACCAAAATTGGACAGTTGAAGACTGGAAAAATGTTGCCTGGTCTGATGAGTCTCGATTTCTGTTGAGACATTCAGATGTTAGAGTCAGAATTTGGCGTAAACAGAATGAGAACATGGAACCATCATGCCTTGTTACTAGTGCTGCCGCGATTAGTCGACTTAGTCGACGTAATCGACCATGCAAATTAGTCGACGGCAATTTTTTTAGTCGACGTGTCGTTTTACTATTGACCGCTATTTATTTTTGGTCTCCCGTCACAAACGGCTCACTGTAATTCACCTCCACACACCAGTCTGTGCGCCGTGCGCACCCTACTGGTTTATCTGCTATCATTTTCCTTCACGTTCCCGCCCGCCTTCACTGCTTTGATATGAAAAATTGCGGAGGCAGGTGACGGAGCTTTCACGGTGGGCTCGTTTGCTGCGGTCCGAGTCCGAGCGCGATTGTTCCCGGCGCCCCCCGCAGCGTTGGTCTGGTTTCACACTTAATTCCATCGAACCCTGTTGAGTTTGCGTGCATCTTATGCCATCGCAAACGTGCACGGCGCATGATAAAAAACAGAACGCGGGTCAATATATTGTGTTTTTCAAACGGACTCTTTTGAGGAGACAGTGGATTTCCAAATGTGTTGCCCTGATTGCAATGCACGCGCAATGCGCGAACACACTGCAGACTCAACTCTCGCGTATCCAAGGTAAATCATCAACACTATCATCCCTTACATGTGTTTTATTTAACTAAATGCATCATAATCAGCTAAAACGCATGGGCAGGTTACTTAACTTCCTGAACAAGCGCTCCCGAGTCCGTGTTGCTTTCACATTCACGCGAACCGCGGCACGGGCCCGCCATGCACGCAAGTGTAAACGCGAGCTACACAACTGCGTGCCTGCCTGCTTTCAGCGCGACTCATAGTGGGCTAGTCCAGACTCTTTCAATTCAATTCCAATTTATTTGTATAGCGCTTTTCACAGAAAATGCATTGCATCTACTTTACTATTCAGAGTGCTGTTATCAGTTATGCTTTTCAGAAATGTACATAAATTAATCATTATTAGCTTACTGTACATTTTTTAAGGCAGAACAAAGAGCTAATTTAAGTAATACATACATGTTTGTTATTAGAGGATTAGATTGGACTCTGACTAATATGGTATAGCCTAATGGAAATGCAGATACTTAATGCTTAGATTGTTAATACATTATTGCTGCGTCCCAATTCGCCTACTTATACTACGCCCTAAAAGTATGTACTCTTTTTGTGAAGAAAAAGTACATACTTTTGAGTGTGTAGCAAAAGAGTAGGCAAGCTTTGGGACATACTACTTCGTCATCTTTAACGGACAGATCTGTCGCGTGCATCCTATCACCGTAAACTGCCCTGTCAATCATCTCGTCACAGTTAAAATCCTCCATTCAATCTAATATAACTTCTTACCATTTCGGAGAGAATTGTTGTCGCACGTTCATCTGCCAGTCATGGGTCTTTCATGCGGAGACTCTCCTCATGTGTTTGGAATTTGAATATAATAATGCATTTAAAAGTTAATGGCTAAACGTATCTTTGCAAAAGTTCACAATGCTGCTGCAGATGCAATATAATGTGGACAACATTGAATAAATACATTTTCATCAGGTTAGATACTGATAATTAATCACTCAAACCCCTTTATCTAAACCTCTCTACATAACCGTCGGACTCACGCGTCCTCCATGTCTGTAGTTTTTGAACACTTTTCATTCGTGTTTGTAGTTCCAGCCGAATCCTCGTCCAACGCGCGATGGGTTGTGGGCAATATCAGCCGTTAGAGTGCGCATCGATCTGCACTTCGGATTCTGACCGGATATAGTAGACCATCCGGGTCTCTTTGGGACACTCATTTCAACATACTACGATTTGGGACGTACTAATTCTATTTTCGAATACTATTTAGGACGGATAGTATGCGAATTGGGACGCAGCAAATGTTTTTGAACAGGTGACATTTTATGTTTTGGCCCTTCAGTTGAGTTCAAAATAAAATGGACACAACGAAATAAACACTTGATTTTTTTTTTAATTAGTCGTTTAGATTAGTCGACTAATCGAAAAATTAGTCGAAAGATTAGTCGTTAGAAAATTAGTCGTTAGTGGCAGCACTACTTGTTACCACTGTGCAGGCTGGTGGTGGTGTAATGGTGTGGGGGATATTTTCTTGGCACACTTTAGGCCCCTTAGTGCCAATTGGGCATCGTTTAAATAACACGGCCTACCTGAGCATTGTTTCTGACCATGTCCATCCCTTTATGGCCACCATGTACCCATTCTCTGATGGCTACTTCCAGCAGGATAATGCACCATGTCACAAAGCTCGAATCATTTCAAATTGTTTTCTTGAACATGACAGAGTTCACTGTACTAAAAAGGCCCCCACACACCAGATCTCAACCCAATAGAGCATCTTTGGGATGTGGTGGAACGGGAGCTTCGTGCCCTGGATGTGCATCCCACAAATCTCCATCAACTGCAAGATGCTATCCTATCAATATGGGCCAACATTTCTAAAGAATGCTTTCAGCAGCACCTTGTTGAATCAATGCCACGTAGAATTAAGGCAGTTCTGAAGGCGAAAGGGGGTCAAACACAGTTTAGTAATAGTATGGTGTTCCTAATAATCCTTTAGGTGAGTGTATATATATATATATATATATATATATATATATATATATATATATATATATATATATATATATATATATTTTACTAGGTGGCTAATTCGTACCAATTCATACGACCTCACTCGTACGAATTCGTACGGTTTTTGCTAAATAGTACATATTTTACGAGTTGCCAAATTCGTTTGAATTCGTACGAATGACCTACCAGGGCTTCTTTTTTCCCAAGGAGCACATGCTCCTAAATTTCAGAGCGCATTTAGAAACTTTAGAGGCGCAACTATTAGTTACTATTAGGAGCACATTTAGAAACTTTAGGGGCGCAACTTTCTAAATGCGCACCTACATTTTTCAACTTGGGCCTTGGGGAAAAAAGTAAGCGTCAAGCCCTGGTAGGTCATTCGTACGGATTTATACGAATTTGGCAACTCGTAAAATATGTACGATTTAGCAAAAATCGTACACAAATTCGTAC